TTTTTTTTTTTTTTTTTTTTTTTTTTTATTATACTACGGAAAGCGACACGTGATTTCGCGAGGATATGTGATACTTATTCGATCTCATTGTTACATATACTTTTATATATATATATACATATATAAATATATATATACACACATCACATGTATATTAATGTGTTATATTCACTTGTTACATTTTGTATATTTATAGGTAAAAACAACACAATTAATCTTGCCTTTTATCAGCTTTTATAAGCGATAGTACATATGTACCATCGATATAATATGTGCATACATAGGCGAATATTGCTTGGCTCTTTGCATGTCCGCTGAGATTTTTCACTTTTTCACGTGTTCTTCTATATCTCTTCGGTCTTTGTCCATCTTTTATAATGGTGTTGGTTTACATAACAGTTCAACGTTCTCTCGTTTATATCTTTCATAGTGACATTTCTCCTATTTATATAATAATTAAGTATTAATTATTTCAATTCGTGTTTTTTGCTGTCGAGTTCACTCTAAGATCTTTCACGAGCCAGTCGTTCTTCGTTATGCTTGGCTGCTGTCTCGGCGTATATTTACACGCCACTCTCTTGGTGGGGTTTTAATATTAAATCGCATGCCTTTGCTATTCTTTCTCTCTTTGTACGAGGATTTTTGCGAGGACCGATTGTGCTAATTTAATATGCAATGTTTACCGGTATGTAGAAACTGAGCGTGCGTTATCCCCCCTCCGTGGCTGTGACATTCAGGCGAGCCTAACGTATCCGATTATAAAGAGTCCACGAGAGCGCGATGATCGGATCGCCGAGTCGACGGGAATAAAAGTCAACTTTTTTGCGGGAATTTTCCAGAGCAGAGATTACGGATTTAGATTTTAGCATGAGCGTAGCCGGGAAAGGATGCAATTTGCAATTTCAGAAGCCCCAGTAATTGTATACTCTAATTTTGCAAAACCAATATATTGAGTGCAAGCTGATAAAAAAAAAAAAGTTTCTTCCTTAAATTTGTCAAAACTTTAATTTAATATGAAATTTAAAAAAAAAGATACAATCAATTGATCTCGTGAAATTTGCGTGAAGGAGAAAGGCGGCTTTAAATTCACAAATAGTACACCATTCAGATATAATTCATCTATATCCGGCAATTTCCGGCTACATCCCTGTACTTTAGAGTAGTGCTTATCCCCTGTCACTGATCTATGCTACTTAGATACCGCTTTCCACACGTAGCCTTCGGATCACAATCACACTACGAACGTCACGAAGTCAAAACGAGAGACCCGTAGATGCAAACTATCTCCCGCGAATGGAAAACTGGTCGAGCTAGCTATACGTTTGATTGCCCGTCGACGAGACTCTATTTCCATCTATGCAGACGTCCGACAATGAGAAACGCAAACAAAATCGGGAGAATAGAGCGGAAATCGAGGTGATCGCTTTGAAAGAAGTCAATCGCGCAAATTTTCTCGACACTTTATTAAAAAAAAAAAGAAAAGAAAAAAGAAAAATTGATTACGAGTAACAATGAAAGTTTCATCGATTCTGCGAGCGCGTCCAGAGACTTCTTCGACTGCAATGTTCTCTGCGACGTATTACTCGTAAAATTGGCAAATTATTTTATTGAAGCTTGAATTTCTGACAAATTGCGCATGTAGATTTCGTATGACAGTTTCCATGCAGATTTTGACGGGTGATGGTTGATAATTTTATGGAGAAAGAAATCTAACTATCTTATAACCGCTCGGCGTAATCAAACTGAGACGCGAGCTCTGCAATAAAATTGAATAGCCATCCCCTCGATTTGTCGCTGCGACAAGAGGTAACCGCAGACCCAATTAGCCAGTAAATTATCAATGCCGGGTAACGAGCGGAACGTCTCTCTTTCTCTTGTCGTAAATGTCGAGCGATCCCGCGCGAACGAGAACAAAATTGCCTAATCTCCTCTTGATAAACATGATTACGGATGCGAGTGATGTGTGTATGGCGTGTGTGCGCAGGCCCGGAAAAAACGGCACGAAGAGGTGGAGAAGATCCGACTGGAAGAACAACAAAGGAAGCAACAGGTAATTCAACAAATCGTTACTATGTTAATGCCTGTCCCGTTTTTTTTCCTCCTCTCGAGTCACTCCGCGAAATGTAATCCTCGTGTGAACGAATGATTGCGCTTCCAGTATTAAAGAACTTTTAATTTCTCAGGAACGAGAGCTGAAGAGGCAGCAGGCGGTCATGCTGAAGGAGCAGGTGAGTCCACGAGTTTAGAGCGAATTGTTCATCGCCAATCGTGCCGTCGCTGTAGAATTTAGTGTGTGTGTGTGTGCGTGAGCGTGTCTCTCGTAGATGTAGAAATGCTCTGTTTTACTTTTATCGCCTTCATTCGTCGTTTTCCCATGTATTTTTATGGCGCCGAGTGAGACGAAACTCTGAGCAAATGGATTTTCTATACTATCTTATATAGGGGTGGACGAATGAGCAGGAAGTGGGAGAGTTTTCGTCGAGGAATGCACAAAAGAAATACTTGAGATATCGCAGATATGTGAAATGGAATATTTCATACAACAGATTACAGATTTATCAATTGTCATCGACACTGTCTATCATAATTACAAATCTGACTATTCGCACTTTCAGAAATTTCTGTTTTTTTTTTGTCTGTAATAAAAATTTTGCGCGATTTGCATGTAGTTTTGCCGTAGAGACAATTGAAAATCTAATTAGAAATTTTTGCAAAGGCTTTACCTCTCATATTTTTTTTTTTTTTTTAAGAAGAGAATCGTTGTAGCCCTTATTACTAGTGTTTTCAACACTTTAATTACTAGACTACATCGGAACAGTGTTAAACTGTAATCACACATATAACAGATGCACATTCTGCACATACGAGCGGTATTAGTGTATTGTACATGTCGATTCAGCAATTTAGTAACTTTATTCAGTTTACATTGCAGAATATTCACTTTGGAAGACCTAACATTATATTTCAGATCTATGACTAGCTAATGTACAATCTAACTCATCTGTATTACCAATGTTCATCTCAACATGGAAAAGTAAAATAACTGATGCTGATTAATATATCATTTCCGGGGGAGTGTAATTCATCGCACATCATATGCGGGATGTCCAATCTTCATCATGAGGAATTTCAATCACGAATTATTTGATGAATTTGCAATCGATTTTTTTCTGGCCAGAAATTCAATGAGAATCTCTGATCATTAAAATGTATGCGTTGTAAATTACGGATGTTTGCTTTTTAAATAGCGAGCCTTTTAAAGAATTTCACTTTTTATTAGTTTTAAATAAACTTTGATAAAAACTTTTTATTGAAAGCTTACAACTGATACAGATATTCGATCATACTAGATGTAATGAATATTACATATAATTGAAAATTGTAAAGTTTTTACGAATAACGATCTTTTATTAAGTTTTTGCCAAGAGAAGGCGCTGTCCGATGAAGTGAGAAATTTGTCTATGAGAAAAATGTTGATGAAGATGAGACACTCCACTGTCACTTGACGCGCTCGCTTGAAATCGGAAAGAATCAATTCAACATAACATTGCCGCGCATTGTCCAACAATCTTGTCGCGAGACAATCGATCGATGCTGCCGATTTCGCGACACGATTTAACTTTGTGACAGATAAATAGCCGATCAGTAGAGAAACGTCTATACGTAGAGATAGCGGGGAAGATTGTTAGATTGAATGTAGCGGTTTGAGCACTAGTGGACTGTGGATGTGTTTTGTGCCGCAGATGTACATGCAGGAGCTCACCAAGCAGCGCGAGATGCTCTACACCGTCGAGCTGGTATGTCACATACCCAATCTAGCATCTAACAGAACGACATTAACGATTTAGTAACTGCTCTCACAACTAACTTACCACCGGCTCTGCGTTACATCGCAAACTGCGGCGTGCACTCGAAATACGGCTTATGCGTTACACCGCCTTCAGTTTTCGAGCGCATTATTATTTTTCAATTCAACACTCGAGATATCTAACAGATTTGTGTAACCGGCAGTACGGACGCGCGTATCGCGATTTTACATCCTTAACGCACATCACTGTTGTCTGTAACGCAATAAGTCGTCTTACTTAATCGACATCATATTACATTTGCTTCAGCTTCCACAATCATTCGACAATTCATAAGCTTAACATTCATATGTAAAGACACACGTTATTTAAGTTCAACGATAGGGATATCGATAATCTTCTCGCTGGTTTTTGGCATACGACAACATGCTTGATAGAATCCTTCCTTGAGGTTTTTTTTTTTTTTTTAAGAATTTTAAGATTTTAATTCGATTGAGGGAAGTGTTCGAGTAGTAGTTCGCGCGACGCTAGTTCTGGTTTGTTTAGAAGCTGCACGATTTCCTTCGCACTGTAAAAAAAAGCGGTTCCCGCGACGACGCGCTCTAAATTGCTCTTCTATGACTATCAGTGCATCCGTTTGACAGTACTGTTCGTAATGTGTAGTGCGTGGAAGAGTATTTGGGACGGTTGTAGAGTTTGCCCCGTTGCCCGTGCGTGCCACAAGTACAGAGTGGAAAATCATAAGGAGACTGCGCATAAAATCTAAGTATTTTTTTTCAAACGTGCAAATTAAAAATAGACGTTAAAAATAGGCGAGAAGAGTAAAATTTAACGATTTTGTGATACGTCAAATTTTTTTATCGAGTGTTTCGAAGTATTCATTATTCGACGAACAACAGCACTTTTAAAAAAGTATAAATTTCTTATAATTTTTCACTCCACACACTTTTTGCGCTTTTTTTGGCAACACACGACGGAGAGTCTACGTACACTACATTCGCCCTCTCCGCGATTTTGTTTTGACTCGGCACTGTCTGCATGAACGTGCCAGTTAGTTTCGCTACGAGTTGTTATAACGATCGACGATGATCGCAGGAGAGAGAAAGAAGGAGGCAACACATGGCTCTGGTGCGGGCGTTGGAGAACCGTCGGAAAATGGAAGAGAAAGAGAAGAAGCGCCTGGAGGCCAGAGCCGAGAGAATAGCGACGAAAGAGAAACGGGCGGAACAGAGAAGGGTCGAGATGGAGTTGATCGAGCAAATTCGCAAGCCTGTGGAGGATATGGAACTGACAGGTACGCGAGCAAAAAAAAAGAGTGATCGATACCGCGCGATGAGAGCATCGCCGCTGTTACACGGCGATCGTAAGTGCTAAGTTTGCTCGCGCATTTCCGACTAACGAGGGCGCGATTTTTCAGATCACAGACCACTGCCGGAAATCAAGAGATTACCTGGACTCAAACTATCCGGGCAAGCTTTCGCGGACATCGTCATGGTTTTCGAATTTCTGCACAATTTCGGGGAGACTTTGGGTTTCGGTGAGGAGATTTGATTTTAGCCGCGTCGAAATCTTCATTCATCGTTCGACTCAAGATTAATCGTCGTTATTTTTGTCCTCGCCAGATATGGAATCGCTGCCAAGCCTGAAGAGTCTTCAGCTCGCTCTCCTCAACGACGAGGAAGCCGAGGAGGAGATGTTGTCGGTAATGACGCATCTGTTGGTCTGCGCTATCGAGGATCCGGGGATTCCGCAACCGGCCAGGCACACCACAGGCTTAGGCCAAAGTTTGCGCCAGGCTGACATCACTCACGCCAACATTAGCGAAGTCCTGCGAATTTATCTGTACGCGAACGCGACCGGCGAAGTGAAGGCTCTCACGGGGGTGTGTCTTGAGCGTGAGCGTGACAAGAAGTTCGCCGATCATCATCAGAACGGCGGCGATTACGCTTCGACCTGCTCGGGAAAGAACGCGCAGTTCTACGAGCACTTGCACAACAACGAAACGTGGAAGATGTCGGAAAGATTACGGGACAAGCCTTTTTTGGCGTTGAACCCGACGCACAAGGCACAAATGCTCGCTTTCCTCTGCAACGAGCTGCTGCAAAATAAGGCTGTGATCAGACAGATAGAGGGTAGCCTCGAGACGGTAGCTCAGCTGAAGAAGGAGAGGTTCGTCTTGGATACCAAGATCAGAAAGTAAGTTCTAATGATAATGCACGAAGAAATAGTTAGTTAGAAGATAAGATTGCCGGTGGAAGTTGCTGCGAAGTCAGTCGTTTCCATTTTCAATTCGTAATACTGATTTCTATTGCTTAGCATTAAAATCTTATATTTTAAACATAGAAATAATTTCGAATGTTAAAATGTACATTTCCTTCATTTTTACGCCTTAGTATCTTATATCATGACATTTGGTAGGCTTAGAACTTTACTGCGATGCGTTGAAATCTTATATTTCAGAATTCTCGACCATTTGTCTCTTTTAATAATAACTCTTTATTGTTCTTGCACAGGCTTAGACAATTGCATAGTCGAAAAGTGCGGATGGAAGCTGTCGGCGTCATCGTGAACAAAATCGGTGACACGATTACTATCGAGAAAAAAGAAGGCGAAGAGGAAAGCAATACCACGTCTACTGCTGTAGGCACGACGCCTACGCCGGACGAGATTCATCACGAGGATGAAGTAGAAGACATGTCTGAGAATGAGAGCGAAGGCACTCAGCCGGAAGAGGTACTTCTTAGACCATTGACTTGTTGTTAAGTTGACGTGGAAGATAATTTGATATTATTCAAACGAAAATTTATACTTTTTTAGGAGGAGGACAAGAATTTGTCTGGCGAGGAATTGGGCAAAAAGTTGGACAAGCTGTTGAAGCAGTCGGAGGAGCAATTGCAAAAGTTGAATAGCTCCTCGAAACAGTTACGGGCGCACATCTTTGGCCAAGACAGATTTTGGAGGAGATATTGGGAATTAGCATGCGCTGGTGGCATCTTTGTGGAAGCTATGGAGAGTGCTGAACCAGAGATACTCGAACTCCAAGCCGACCTGGACGAAAAGTACAAAAATATGCCAATAGAGGAGAAATCTGAAGTGAAACAGGAGGGCGAAAGCAAGAAGAATTGCGAGAATCGCGAGAATGAAGCGCCGAACGAAGTGAAGGGTGAAAAGAAGCACAATTCGAGCGAGCAGAACGACGACGTGAAATGTCACGGGGACAAGGTGAAGTCCGAGGTGGAGGATGTTAATTGCAAGAAGGAGCCTGTACAAAACTGCGGCTCGGAGAATTCCGAGGGCACGAAGGAGCAAAAAAGGAGCAACGACGTCGACAGCACGATGACGGACGCGAAGACGAACGTCACGTCTGAAGAAATAAAGCAGGAGACGGAAGTGGTCGGTATGGACGTCGACGCGAAGACTGAGGACGTGAAGAAGGAAAACGAGGAAATGGACGAGGACGTGGCGAAGCCGCTGGTGAAGACGATGGAGGACAAGATCGTCGAGACGATCCCGAACGGCGACAAGTTCAACCACGTCAATAATCTGCACAACGGGAGGGAACTCAACGGCTCTTTCATTTCTAGTGAGTCTCTATAAATCCTTCGTCAGAACAGCCACTTCAATATTTTTGATTTATATTAGTCATGTCGATCATTTCAGACAGCAGCAATACGGAGCCCAATTGGTTCTCCATTTTGCCGCGTGAGACGTGCGACACTCCGGGGCCCAGCACGAAACAAATCTTCGGCATAGCCGAACCGACTGAGCTCAGAATCCCGATATTCCCGCCACCGGCTAGTCCGAGTTACGACAGATGCGACAGTCCAGCGCCTCTGATACTGACGCAGGATGAGGCGGTGCAGCTGGAATATTTGAAAGTGCACGGTCTACCACCACCCGGAGAGGCCAAACCGGTATCGAAAGGTGAGTTAATTTCGCAAACATTGAAGAACGTGTGGAGAGAAAAATTGGTGCGATCGAAAATATAACGTATGTTTGAAAATTGTTTGATCACGTGATTTTACAGATCTCAGGTACGGTTGGTGGAGAATAACGGACGTCGATACGTTCCAAGAACTCTTGGAACACTTACATTCTCGCGGCGTCCGTGAGAAAGAGTTAAAGCGCACAACGTGGGCGACAATGGAGTCCTTCCTGGCGGTAACCGGTAGAATTAATGTCGATCCCGGCAATATCATCGCCACAGAGCTCCAAGCGCAACCAGACGACGCTAACACGCCAATCCCGAAGCCCGACAATCCGAACATCTGGAGTGAGCAAGTAGCGCTGCGTGTAGACGCTCAGCTTTTGGAGCAGGTGGAAGCGCTCGAAGACAAAGTAGCTAACGCTAGCATGCAGGTCAAGGGCTGGAAGCTTCCTCCGCGAGCCGGCACCGAAGAAGCCGAGGAAATTGAAAAGCTGAACGAAATGGAGAAGATCAGCGCGGTCGAACAAGCACGGCAAAGGCTACTTTCCTTGGAGGCAGCTATAGAAAGGAGATACTTAAAACCACCTTTGGGCGTTTGGTAAGACATATCTCAATTCTTATGTCTATTTTACGCACATTTGACTAGTGACAGTTGCTTCCATATATTTTACAGGAAAATTGTTTAAAAACATTGACAAGCAAACTTTTTTTCAATCAAACAAAACTCAATGAATACATCTCTCGTTACCGTCATTAAAATCATCAATTAATATTTATATGAAATTTATCGAGCGAAAAAACGATTTCAAGCGATTGTCGTGTATAATTTCATAGCACGGGAGATCCCAACCTGGCAGCCCTCAAGGCGGAACAGGCGGCGGCAGCGGCTAACGCAAACTCGAATAACTCCGAGCAGAATAACCAGGCGCCCGCACCGCCGGAGGAAACGACACCGCGGGGTCTGAACACCTGGCGAGAGGCAACCGCGCGAGCGCACACATCGGCGCAACTCGCCATGGCGCTCTACATGCTCGAGGCCAGCATCGCTTGGGACAAGAGCATCATGAAGGCTGTGAGTCTAACAACAGCTAGAAACTCGGTCTGCGCCAAGCTGCGAAACCGCTGCGTCTCACTCAAAGCTACCAATCAGTACAAACAGCTATTGACTACTTCTCAGACCTCTGTGGGTATTCGCACTAACTTACTAACCGAAATCGTCCTTTGCTGCTCCCCTATTCCTTGTACACCTTTGTCCCCTCCCGTGTTTGGTTGGCTCACAGAGAAAGCGTGCGTCGCTTCGAACGGATATCGACAGGTGTCTGCTCGATCCGACGACCGAGCCTAAACGATATACTTCTCACGCGACGGTGCTCCTACAATACATCTGCTTCCAATGTTATCAAAACTTCTGATGTGTATTATCACGTGTGCGAAGAACAATGGCAATGAAATTTGCATACATCCGTTGAATTTCGCTCTGTTCGCGCGAGATACCTTGACGCGTTCACTTTATTTATCTTTGTTTTACGGATGCAGTCAATACAATTGCAATTAAACGCGCGTCTATTGACAAACGCTGTTCGTGAAATTCTCTTGAAAATTAGGAATGTTTGGGATATACAACATAGATGTGTATGAATTGCAAACCAAAACCAAGCCGAAACGCGCAAATTGCAAGATAAGCGTAACAATGTACATTCAATGGTGGTCAGAGTCTAACGTAACGGTTGCATGCAAAACTGCCGCTTAGTATTTATACGTTTTCTTATTTGTTAATGCCTTTCTTTAACATTTGCGTTTGCATCGCTTTAGCCTGCTTCTTTATATCATTTTTATAGCGTTTTTCAGAAAAATACCATCGTTATTCTTGTGATTATGATTCATTTGCAGTGATTTACATTTGTATTGTCGCACGATTTAAATTACATTCATCATGGCGTACAGTATATATGTCATATATTAATATTGTGATCGGAATTAAAAATACTTTGCTCTTTTTATTTCGAACACATAATTTTTCTTTCGCCGTGAATTTAATTTATGCTTATATGATAATTATTTTTATGTGCCATATTTAATCATGTCTTGCATTTTTTGGATACGTCATCCAATTAAATACAGATATTTGTCATTTGCTTTCGATTAAAATAATGCTTAAGTAACAATGTCTCGCTATCTTAGTCACAAGGTGGAAACAAACTGTTTTAAGTGAAGAGTTTATTTGGGTTACAGAATTGCCAGTTTTGTCATAGTGGGGACAACGAAGATAAGCTGCTGCTCTGTGATGGCTGTGATCGTGGCTACCATACTTACTGTTTCCGTCCAAAAATGGAAAACATTCCTGATGGTGACTGGTGAGTAGTATATTTTTGGCATACTGTATTTCTCGTCTAATTCCACTTTGCAACAAAGTGCTACAACTTTTCCCCACTGTTTCAGGTATTGTCACGAGTGTATGAACAAAGCAACAGGTGAACGCAATTGTTTAGTATGCGGGAAGAGGGCGGGTAAAAACTTGGTCCTATGCGAACTCTGTCCCAGAGCTTATCACACTGACTGCCATAATCCTGTCATGCCAAAAGTAAGTCAAGCTCAGATGTTCGTAACGCGTAGAAGCGTTCGCTGTCCGACAAAGTCGAACGTGCATCCAGAGACATATTCATTGTACACATTGCGCGCTTTGTTTTATAGATGCCGCGAGGAAAATGGTATTGCTCTAATTGCCACAGTAAACAACCAAAGAAGAGAAATAGTAGTCGAAGGAGTCATACCAAAGGGGGAGGCACCAGAGAAAGTGAAAGTTCTGATCATCCACCAGCTAGGTGATTACGTTAAAAACAAACAAACATTGTCAAGTCGCTGGCTTAATGACGTTTCATGCGAAGTACATTTGATAAAAGGCCATTGCTGAGAACGCATGGTTTGATAAATAACCAACGAACCGCAAATGGCGAACAAGTATTATTTCCGATTGAATAAAGCAATCTTAAAAACGAACAAGCTATCTGTATACACTGTACTCATGCGATTACCGATTCAATTCTCGGCCCGTGTCGCAATACCGCCGAGAACTTTTGTCGTCTCGAGGAACTTTTCCTTTCATACAGGGTGTTCCACGAGAAGCTAGATTGAATTTTGCTCGGTCTCTCTTTAAGAGTCGGTCGTCGCCCGACAGCCCTTTTGCAGCGACGCTCTCGGTTCTTTCTCTGTGGCTTGTCGCAGATTTCTCCGGGACACCCTGTACATTCATAATGCATCGTTGTTGCCTAGTGTACTTGCGATCGCCGACAGTGGGATGGGTATTTTCTCAGAAAAATTCGTCGTAACGGGGTAGAGCCGCCTTCGTATATGACGAGTCGGAAAAAAAACGAGAGAGCGAAGGAGGGCGAAATAAAAAAAAAATAAAAAAATAAAAAAAAATAATAGATAGAAACAGAAAAAGTAATAGAGAGCGAACGAGAGACAGAGAGTCAGAGAGAAACGCAAATGTTCCATCGAGAGCAACGTACCCGTCTCAGCCGGACACATGATTGAATCTTATGCGATTCGTCCTTGCGCATTCGTCCAGAGGCTTTTATGACGGGAAACCTCCTGCAGAACGGAAGCTAATCGTGCAAATAATTTCTCTGTTGTTTTGCGCCGCAGTCCAACGCCGTCAACGGCATCGAACACGCACGTAGAGGACGTCAGTTCGTCGGAACCGGCAACACCTACTGCCTCGCCACGGAAGGAGGGTAACAATCGGACGCTCACGAAGAAGCAACAACGAGAGCTGGCGCCTTGTAAGATACTCCTCGAACAGTTGGAGCAACAGGACGAGGCCTGGCCGTTCCTCCTGCCGGTGAACACCAAACAGTTCCCGACCTACAAGAAAATCATAAAAACCCCCATGGATCTCAGTACGATTAAGAAGAAGTTGCAGGACTCCGCGTAAGTTACTCAATACGCGCCAGCGATTAGTTAAGTGAACGTACTATCTTTAACTGCCTTTCCTCTAAAAAAAATAAAAATAAAAATAAAAATAAACAATCTCTCCTGGTCTTTAAGACAGACCTAGTAGACCTAACAGACCGTTCGCACACAAAAAAAAAAAAAA